TAGGGAGGCTGTCAAAAATACAGAAGGATATGCACCAAATGGTATAGCACCTAAATTTCTGAAAAAATTGAATGAGTTACAGGAGGAAATGGGACTTCAACTTTCCCCTCTCAGAACTAGATAAATTTAATAAAAAAATAATCAAGAAAGAAGTTAAGGAGGTGAATAAAACTGTGGAAAAGTTAGATATGATAGATCTCTACAGAAAATTGGATGGGAATAGAAAGAAATATGCCTTTTCTCTGCAGTACAGGGCACCTACACAAAAATTGGCCATGTATTAGGACATAAAAACCTCACAACCAAATGAAGAAAAGCAGAAATATTAAATGCATCCTTTTCAGATCATAATGCAATAAAAATTATATTCAATAATGGGCAATGGAAAAATAGATTAAAAATTAATTGGAAACTAAATAATCTAATCCTAAAAAATAAATGTGTTAAAGAACAAATCGTAGAAACAACTGATAATTTCATTAAAGAAAATGATAACAATGAGACAACATACTAAAATCTATGGGATGCAGCCAGAGTGGTCCTTAGGGGAAAATTTATACCTGTAATTGCTTACATCAATAAAATAGAGAAGGAGCAAATCAATGAACTGGGTGTGCAACTAAAAAAACTAGAAAAAGAATAAATTAAAGATCCCTAATTAAACACCAAATTGGAAATACTGAAAATCAGAGGAGAGATTAATAAAACTGAAAGTAAGAAAACCATTGAACTAAGGAATAAAACTAGAAGCTGGTTTTATGAAAGAAAAAAAAACAATAAAACAGATAGACCATTGGTTAATTTGATTAAGAAAAGGAAAGAAGAAAACCAAATTACTAATATCAAAAATGAAAAAGGTGAATTCACTACCAATGAAGAGGAAATTAAGACAACTATTAGGAGATATTTTGCCCAATTATATGCCAATAAATTTGACAATCTAAATGAAATGGATGAATATCTACAAAAATATAAATTACCCAGATTAACAGAAGAAACAGAATACTTAAATAAACCAATCTTAGAAAAAGAAATTAAACAAACCATCAAAGAACTTCTGAAGAAAAAATCTCCAGGGTCAGATGGATTCACAAGCAAATTTTATCAAACATTTAAAGAACAATTAATCCCAATGCTACATAAACTATTTGGAAAAAATAGGCAAAGAAGGAGTCCTACCAAATTCCTTTCACAACACAAATATCGTGCTGATACCTAAATCAGGAAGAGCCAATATAGAGAAAGAAAATGATAGACCAATTTCCCTAATGAATATTGATGCAAAAATTTGAAATAAAATACTAGCAAGGAGATCACAGAAATAAATCACAAAGCTCATACATTATGACCAGGTGGGATTTATAACAGGAATGCAAGGCTGGTTCAATGTTAGGAAAACTATCTGCATAACTGACCATATCAATAACAAAACCAACAGAAACCATATGATTATCTCAACATATGCAGAAAAAGCCTTTGACAAAATACAACACCCATTCCTATTAAAAACACTAGAGTGCATAGGAATAAATGGAGCTTACCTTAAAATGATAAGCAATATTTATCTAAAACTATCAGCAAGCATTATCTGTAATGGGGATAAGCTAGAAACTTTCCCAATACAATCGGGATGAAGCAAGGATGCCCATTACCACCTCTATCATTCAATATTGTACTAGAAATGTTAGCTACAGCAACAAGAAAAGAAAAAGAAATTGAAGGAATTAGAATAAGCAATGAGGAAACAAAACTATCACTCTTTGCAGATGATATGATGGTATACTTAGAGAATCCTAGAGAATCAGCTAAAAAACTAGTTGAAATAATTAACAACTACAGCAAAGTCACAGCATACAAAATAAACCCACACAAATCATCAGCATTTCTATATATTACAAACAAAATCCAGCAGCAAGAGGTAGAAAGAGAAATTCCATTTAAAGTAACTGTAGACAATATAAAATACCTGGGAGTCTATCCGCCAAGACAAATCCAGGAACTATATGAACACAATTACAAAACACTTTTCACACAAATAAAGTCAGATCTGAACAACTGGAAAAATATTAATTGCTTATAGGTAGGCCAAATCAATACAATAAAACATGACAATTCTACCTAAATTAATCTATTTATTCAGTGCCATACCAATCAAACTACCAAAAAAAGTATCTTATAGAGCTAGAGAAAATAATAAGGAAATTCACCTGGAAAAACAAAAGGTCAAGGATATCAAGGCATTCAATGAAAAAAAATGTGAAGGAAAAGGGGTCTAGCTGTACAAGATCTAAAATTGTATTATCAAGCAGTAATTATCAAAACAATCTGGTACTACCTAAGAAATAGAGTGGGTAGATCAATGGAATAGATTAGGTACAGATTACATTATAGTAAATGACCATAGTAATCTAGCATATGATAAACCCAAAGATCTAAGCCTTTGGAACAAAAATTCAGTATTTGACAAAAACTGTGGGGAAAATTAGAAAACATTATGACAAAAACTAGGTGTAGGGGCAGCTAGGTGGCGCACTGGATAGAGCTCCAGCCTTGGAGTAAGGGGGACCTGAGTTCAAATCCGGCCTGAGACACTTGACACTTACTAGCTGTGTGACCCTGGGTAAGTCACTTAACTCTAACTGCCTCACCAAAAAGCAAAAAAAAAAAAAAAAAAAAAAGAAACTTGGTATAGACCAACATCTCACACCATATACCAAAATAAGGTCAAAATGGGTACATGATTTACACATAAATGGTGATACCATAAGCAAATTAGGAGAGCATGGAATAGTTTATTTATCAGATCTATAGGTAAGGGAAGAATTTAAAAGGAAGGAAAATATAAAGAGTATTACAAAATGTAAAACAGATAATTTTGATTATATAAAATTTTAAAACTTTTACACAAATAAAACCAGTGTAACCAAAATTAAAAGGAAAACAGAAAATTGGGGAGGGGGGGAGTTTGCAACAAGTATCTCTGATAAAGGCCTCATTTCTCAAATATATAGAGAACTGAGTCTAATTTATAAAAATGCAAGTCATTACCCAACTGATAAATGGTCAAAGGATATGAACAGGCAGTTTTCAGACAATGAAATCAAGCTACCCATAGTCATATGAAAAAATACTCTAAATCACTACTGATCAGCGAAATGAAAATTAAAACAACTCTGAGGTACCTCTCATACCCATCAGATTGGCTAATATAGCAGAAAAGTAAAATGTTGAACGTTGGAGTGGATGCAGGAAAACTGGGACACTAGTGGACTGTTAGTGGAGCTGTGAACTGATCCAAGCATTCTGAGGAACAATTTGGAACTATGCCCAAAGGGCTATCAAACTCTGCATACCCTTATTTTTTTGTTTGCTTTGCTAGGCAATGGGGTTACTTGCCCTAGGTCACAAAGTGTCAAGTGTCCGAGGCTGGATTTGAACTCAGGTGCTCCTGACTCCAGGGCCGGTGCTCTATCCATTGCACCACCTAGCTGCCCCTCTGCATACCCTTTAACCCAGTAATTATCACCACTATGTTTGTATCTCAAAGAGATCAAAGAAAAGGGGAAAGGACCAACATGTACAAAAATATTTATAGCAGCTATTTTTGTGGTGGCTAAGAACTGGAAATTGAGGGGATGCTCATCAATTGGGGAATGGCTGAACAAGCTGTAGTATTTGATTGTGACAGATTATTATTGTGCTATTAGGAATGACAAGTAGCATGCTTCCAGAAAAACCTGGAAAGACTTACATGAACTGATGCAAAGTGAAGTGAGCAGAACCAGGAGAAAGTGGTACCCAGTAACAGCAATACTGTACGATGAAGAACTGTGAATGACTTAGTCATTTTCAGCAATACAATGATCCAAGACAATCCCAAAGAACTAATGATGAAGCATACTGTCTCCAGAAAAAGAACTGATATTGTCTGAATACAGACTGAAGCATGCTATTTTTCAATCATGTCAGACTCTCCGTGACCCCATTTGGGGTTTTGTTGGGAAAGATACTGGAGTGGTTTGCCATTTCTACCTCCAGCTCATTTTGCAGATGAAGCCAACAGGGCTAAGTGACTTGCCCAGGGTCACACAGCTAGTAAATGTCTGAGGGCAGATTTGAACTCATGAAGATGAGTCTTCCTGACTCTCAGCTGAGTGCTCTACGTACTATGGCGCCACCTAGCCGCCCAACTTTTACTTCCTTCCTAATAATTAGAGCTGTCCAACACTCTCAAAGGCTGCCTCGGGCAGCAGGAGTATCCCCCCTTAGAAATCTCGGAGGCAAGGTGAGATGACCATTTCCAGGAAGTGTTGGAGCAGATGTCTGCGGTTAGGGATGGGCTAGACTGGACGTCATCCAAGATTCTCCCATTCTGTGATTTTTAGGTCTGAACCCCAAAGGCTATTGAGAGCACCTGGAGAGATCCTCAATCTCCCTAGGAGGGCAGGGGCAAAAGGAAACAAAAAAGAGGAGGAGAGAGAGCCCCCTCAGAGAGAGGAAGGCTGGGGGACATGGAAGAGTGGCAGGGCAGGCAGACATGGCCACTGACAGCTGGGAAAGAAGATGCTCTGGGGCCGTGCTCCTTGACAATTTAAAAGGTGTCAGCCTGGTCTTTGGGAAGGAATTCTGTGTCACCATAACTCTTCTTTTTCATCTAGACCTTCCTGCCCCTACCCCATCCCAAACAGCTGCAAGCACGACTGCTCCGGGGAAGGAACACAGAGAATGGGAGGGAGGGGCAGGGAGACGACACCTCCATAGCAATGGGCAGCAGCAGAGGCAAGGGAAGCGAAGGCCAGGCCCCGGAACAAGGGAGGTGAGAGAAGGGAGCCTAGGGCTCGTGACTATAAGGAATGAGGGGCTGTCTGACCCAGGACTGGAGGAGAGGAGAGGCAGGGAACAGGGCCAGTGGAGGCCAACGAGGGTTCCTGGGACACACAGACGCTGAACCTCCACTGTAGCCCCAGCCTGCCCCAGGGCACCCCAGCTTCATCCCTCACCTGGGAAAGGTCCCTGCAGCTGCTGTAGATTCCCCAGGATCTTCTGGCTCAGCAGGTGGATCAGCCGGGTCACAACCTATGAGTGTTGTGCACCAGAGGTCACATCAGGCAAAAGAATCCGCAGGCCCACATCTACTCTGGCCTGGAGCATCTCACTAGAGGACGCCAGGTAACTACAAGGAGCCTGGATCCCAGATCACCTGAGAAGTACCTGGAACCCCAATTCTCCACCTCATAATAACTAAGACCCCAAAGGCGCCATCCTCCACCCTGAGGGATCCCTGGAATCCCCATTCCCCACCCCTGGGTCCCTTCCTAGAGCCCCTATACCTGTGGGTACCTCCTCTTAATGTGGCTCAGGGTCCCCTCGGGCAACTTGGCAAGCTCTGTGTCCCGCACTGCATGCACTGTTGTGGCCCGGGGCTGCCGGGTCAGTGCCTCCACCTAAGTCCAACCGTGACAGGGGAGTAAGCTGCCTGCTCCCCAGTGGGCACAAGGCTGGAGGGCGCATGGGTTAGATCACTAGAGGCAGGGCCCAAGAGTTGGCAAGGGGGTTAGGGTGCTGGAAGAGGAAAGGCAAGCTGGGAAGTTAAAGCTGGAGGAAGCTCAAGGACAGGACAGGGACCCAGGATGGGAAACGGGGCATCTCCAGGGCCAGGCTTAGGCAGGGCTGGGTCCTGGACAGGTAACTCACCACCCCGATAAGATCCCCACGGCCGTATTCCCCGACCAATTCCTTCTTGCCACTGCCCCTCTGGATGACAGAGCGCAGGCGCCCATTGAGTACAATGTAGGTACAGTCTGAGCGGTCACCCTGTCTGGAGGATAGGGACACAGGGGATGGGGAAGATTAGAAAGTGTCTGGTTCTCCCCCACAGAACTTCAATGACATAACCAGGGTGGGGCTGGGAGAACACAGGCTCCAGGGATTCATGAAAGGGTGGAGGGAAGGGGAGAGGGACACACAAAGAACCATCCATCACAGGGTCCTTTGGGAAAAGTTGGGCTAATAAATAGCCTGAAACTGGAAACTGGGAGATCGGAGTTGAAGGATTCCAGGGTTTGGGGCTTCTAATTCGAGGGAATGTGGATGGGGCAGTGGTTCACAAGGCAGGAGGATATCTAGATTGAAGGTTCCAAGGTTTAGGTTCCATTACCTATAGAGGGCGCGTCCAGCCTCCACAGACGTCCAGTCAATTGCAAAATCCATCTGGCGTACAAACGGTGACATGCGGGCAGCCACGGTGTGGGCAGCGCTCAGGACCACGCTCGGCTGCTCCCGCATGATCCTGGGAGGGGAAGAGGAAACAGGGCAGCATGGAGACCCTGCTGGTCCCTCCTCACCTCTCCCTGAAGACTCCCCCAGCCCTGCTTGGCCAGCCTGGGTGTCCATACGCACTCATAGAAGCCCGACTTGGAAATACGCAGGAAAGTGCAGTCCCGCTGCGCCCGCAGGGTGAAGATGAGCGGCTCCCCCGTCAGCACGGCTAGCTGACCCACCAGCTCTCCAGGCTGGGCTACAAACAGACAGACGTCCTCTGCCTTGTCAATCATGCGCTGGTACACGTGCAAACAGCCCCAGAGCACAAAATGCAGGCTCGCATCCTAGGGGTAGGGCCAGCAGGGAGGGGGAGAAGGAGTTCGAGGTTGGAAAGATGCCTCCCTTTCGGGGGGCAGCTTCAACATGACTCTGAAAGGCCCTCGGGCTGAAGTGACCACTGACCTAAACACTTGGGAATGGGGGTGTGGCTGCGTGGCCATGACCACAGAGAAGGGTGAGAGGACCTGAAAGGCAGCTGGCTGCGGATCTGAAGTCAAGAGGCCCAGGCTCAAATCCCAATTCTACTAGAACAAATTTCTTCACCTTTCTGGGCCTCAGTCTCCTCATTTGTAAAATGAGAGGGTTAGACTGGATGATACCTTTGGTTCCTGCCAACTCTAAAACTGCTCTTCAGACTGAGCCGTGCCCATCAAATCTCCCTCAAAACAAAGTATCAACTGATAGAAAAAGATGGGAATGAAGAAGATATCAGGTCTAGGACGGAAAGAAGGGCCCATCTTTTTGGAGTAGGGACAAGACCAGGCAAAAAGCTAGAGGTAAACCAGTTCTCCTGGAGAGAGACAAGATGGCAGCCCTCTCAGTGGGGCCCCTTGAAGCTGAGTCTAGGTCACTTTCCTGCTGACAGAGAAAGAAGGAAGAAGGAAGAAGGGAATTAGTGCTAAGAACCAGAAAATGATCGAGAACAAATTTTCTTAAAGACCCAGAAAAAAGAACCAGGACACAGAAAGGAACTATGTTTGCACCAGAAAGAAAACAGGTAGCATACAGCATAGATTTTGCTAAGGTTAGAAATAATAATAATAATATTAAATAATAATAACCAGGACCTACATTTACAAAAACACTTTACATATATAACTTCATCTGAGTCTCACAACATTGTAAAGTAGGTATTATGTCCCTAAAAGATGGGGAAACTGAGGCTGACGGGTGATGACTCGCCCAGCACCATACAACTAGTAAGTGTCTGAGACAGGATTTGAATCCAGATTTTCCTGACTCCAAGGCCAGTATTCCATCCCCTATGACACCTAGCCGCCAGAGGAAGTGCAGTGAGAGGTGATCAGTGAAAGCAGCCTAAAACCAATGATGTGGGAGGACACTAAGGTTCCTCAAGGGGGTAGAGTGGAAAGAGTGCTATGTCTGAAGTTAAAGGACCTGGGTTCAAATCCTCGTTCAACCACTTGCTGCCTATGTGACTTTAGGTGAGTTCTTTAACCTCTCCAGGACTCAGTCTTAACATCTGTAAAATGAAGGAGATGAAGTAGAAAACCCCTCAAGTCCCTCTCTAGTCTTAAATCAAATGATCCTAAGGTGAAGACAGATGCCTAGTGAATGCCAACAGGGCTGAAACCAGTGGGAAGACCTGGGCCAGAGGCAGGGATCGACAGGAGCTGGCCATGACTAGGGCTAGGGCCAAGAAGAGCCAACAAGAGGCTAAGGGGAGGTCAGGATGGGGACGTGAGCAGGATGGGCCCGAGCTGCCAGAGAACCAAGGTGCACTAACAGAAAAAGCAGAATCCCATGTTGGCCACTCAATGACATTTCCTCTGCTGGTTATGCCTGTCCCCTGGCTTATGCTGAGGGCCACTGAAGCCCCAACAAGACCGCCTGTGAGGCCTTCAGCACCACAGAAGGGACAGTGAGCTCCTCCTACCAATTCTTCCTGGTAAGAGAGAGAGAGAGCAGATGCCCCCCTCCCGAGCACTGAGAGGGCCAACCAAGAAGCTGCCTAGCACCCAAGGCAGTTCATTCCACTGCAGAATGGCTCTAATTGTTGGGAAACTGATTCTCCTGTGAAAGGTGGAATCAGGTAATGGAAAGACCTCAAGACATCGAATCAGGAAAGACCTGGGTCTGAATCTCACCTCTGACAGGAGCAATGTAACATGGACAACTCAATTACCTCCTCTAAACTGATTTTCTTATCTACAAAATGGGCATAATACTATCTATAGTATTTACCTCACAGAGCTATGAGGAGTAAATAGGATAACATATAGAGATTTGCAAACCTTAAAGCACTATTAAAAGCATAGCTATAATTTTTTTTTTTAATTCAGCAGATATCTGTCTTCCTGTAACTTCTACCCATTGGTCCCAAGTGATAGCGAGAACAAATTGAATTCTTCTCCTACATGGAAATCCTTTAGATTTGAGTTATAGTTTTCAAATCCAACGGTCTTCTCATCCCTAGGCCAAGGCTATGAATCTCCTTCCCGAATCTTCACTGCCCAGCTTGTCAACGCCTTTCCTAAGATGAAGTTCCCGGAATGTAATTTAATGCTCCAGTTATGATCTGGGCAGGGCAGAGCTTCATGAGACTACCCTCACCCTTGTTTTAGAGCCCACACTCCTGCTCAAATGCAGCCTAAAATCACATGAGCTTTTTAGCTGCCGTGTAACTGGTGACTGATGACCCATTAAAAGTCTTAGGTCAAGACTAAAACAAAATAAAAGTCCTAGGTACTTTTCACATGAATGGACTAGCTGAGTCTCTCCTATCCTATATTTAGACAATCAATTAGGCAAAACTGACCTTTTTGACCAGACAGAACGATTTTATATTAATCCCTATTCATAAGGAGAAGGGGATGGCAGAGGGTGAGACGGACAGATGGTGTCACGGAGGCAACAGACACCAGCATGGACAGACTTTGAGAGAGAGTGAAGGACAGAAAGAAGGGCCTGGCATGCTGTCTTCATCCATGGCATCACAAAGAGTCAGACACGACTGAACAACAAATTCAATTTCACCTAATGAGATTCTGGTTTGAAATACGGTCTATCATTTTAGTTGTCAAGTTTACAGCCCTGTCATGTAATAAGAGAATAAGCTACATTTATGTTGAACTTTCAAGTTTTTAAAGCACTTTATATACCCTTTATCCCATAAAGCTTAAAACAACCTGTGACATAGACATTCTAGGGAACACTATCCTCATTCCATAGACAAAGAGGCTGAGGAGAAGGGTCACAGAGAGTGAGTGTCAGAAGCAGGATCTGAACTCAGGTCTTCCTGGCTCCAAGTCTAGCATTCTATTTGCTATACCAAGGGTGGGGAACCTGTGGCCTTGAGGCCATATGTGGCCTTCTAGGTCCTTGAGTGCAGCCTTTTGACTGAATCCAAGTTTTACAGAACAAATCTCTTTATTAAGGGTATTTGCTCTGTGAAGTTTGGATTCAGTCAAAGGACCACACGTGAGGGCCTGGAAGGCCACACTTGGCCTCGAGGATGCAGGTTCCACACCCTTGCACTATACCTATATCCCTGCCAACTTTCAGGCCATCACAAATTTGTTAAGCATGCTGGCTAAGCCTTCATCTGAGTCACCAATAAAAATGTTCCAAGGGCCTAGGAAAGAGTTCTGCAGCCACCACTAAGGACTTCCCTCCAGACTGGCATTGATCTATTAATTAATATTCTTTTGGTCCAGTAATTCAGCAGACTTTGAACATTCTCCCTAGTCACAGCTACCCATTTAATGCACAAGTGTATCAAGGGAAACTTCATAAAACCTCCTGATATAACACAAACACATGAATGATGCCAATAATCCCCTGCTCTACCAGTTTAGTAATCCTGCGCAAAAAGGGAAATGAGGTTAGTGTGGCATAACAGGCTCTAGATGAACCCATGGTGACTCTAAGAAATCATTATTTCCCTTGCTAAGTGATCACAGCCCACTGGTTTAATTACTTATCTTAGGATTATTTCTACAGATCAAAGTTCACTGACCAGTAGTTTCTGTCCTTCATTCTTTTTTTTTTCTTTTTTTTTTTTTAGGCAATTTGGGTTAAGTGACTTGCTCAGGGTCACACAGCTAGTAAGTGTCAAGTGTTTGATCTGAGGCCAGATTTGAACTCGGGTCCTCCTGACTTCAGGGCCGGTGCTCTATCCACTGCGCCACCTAGCTGCCCCTGGCCAGTAGTTTCTGGAACCCACCCTTTTTCCTTCAGAACACACCTAACGGGAGGAGATGCCCAAGTCAATTCATCCTGATAAAGTGAGTCCACACACACTTGGCTAAAGGCATAACTACTCTGCAATCACCATCTACAAAATGTACTTTCAGTCATACAGAGACCAAGACAGCAGAAGGAATGCAGCCCAACTGTGGCACGTTCTCACCCACTACTGCCCCCAAGGGAGGCAGTGATATAGAGCCTAGAAGCACAGCAGAAGCTTCTCCAGCCTTGGTGATCTTACCCAAGCACTGAGCTCAGCCTGAGAAAAGTTATGGAACAACAGGAGCCCAGCAGTTTCACTGATGGAATATTCAGAGAGAACTTTGTGAACAGAAATTCTCTGCCTTCAGCATCTGGGATCCCTCTTCCTCAGGTGGGGGGAGAGAGGGGGAGGGGGGGAGAGGGGGAGAGAGAGAGAGAGAGAGACTGAGAGAGACTCTGTGTGTGTGTGTGTGTGTATGTGTGTGTCCTTTCAGGTCAAACACTGACATCAGGAACACGTTCACTGAGATGGAGCTGACAAAACTGCTTGGGGTGACTGTGTACCTTTTGGCCTAGCAGTACCACTACCCAGTCTAGACTCCAAAGAGATAAAAGAAACAGGAAAAGGACCCCTACGTGCCAAGATATGGATAGCAGCTCTTTTTTCAATGGCAAAGAACTGGAAACTGAGATTGTGCCCATCAACTGAGAAATGGCTGAACAAATTATGATACCTGAATATGATGGAATACTATCATGCTATAAGAAATGATGAAGGGGATGGTTTCAGAGAGACCTGGGAAGACCTGAATGAACTGACGAAGAGTGAAGGGAGCAGAACCAGGAGAACAATTTTTACAATGACAACAAGCCAAACGACTCTGAAAGACTCAAGAACTCTGATCAACGCAATGACCAACTGGGTTTCCCGAGGACTCAAAATACATTACTCACCTCCTGAGAGAGCAGATGGACTCAAGGGGCAGAACAAGACAGACATTTTTGGACACAGCCAAAGTGGAATTTGAGCCAATTGGTGACAAGGGAGGGTCTGAGAGCAGGCTCGTGAGATGCTTGTCTGCCTGGTGAGATTTGCACTTCTTCCTGCTTCTAGTCCCAAGGATTGCTGTGTGGACATAAAGCTGGTGCCCCCCAAACTCAGTAATCTCTTGGGCTTTAGTCTCCCCTTAGCCATGTTTTTCTGTACTTTCTAGTTAGAAGATCATTTTCCTTAATAGGGAAGATTGAAGTAAAATAGCTAACAGAGGTTTTATTCATTCTGCATTCATCACTGTTGCACCAGCCAGCCTCAGCAACAAGCTTCTCTCTTCCTTGTCTTTTCCTGCCCTTGAAGCATCTAAACAAGGCCTCCATGTATTGAAAGCTTGAGTTCACACAGCCTGATGCTCTTCTCCTACGATCCCCCTTTCAAGGCCTACTTGGCCTCAGTTATGTGCCCTCACTTGCTTCGTTTTAAAATCAACCTCAGCAGAGAGCTCTCGGAAAAAAACACACCACTCCCTTGAGATGCTCCTCTCTCCCTTTTCTTTCCCAGCAGAATAATTCATGACTAGGTCATCAGAATTTCCTTCTTGAGTCTCCCATCCCCTGAGGGTAGACCTTGCTTTTAGCACTTCAGATCATGGGAGGAGACCTATCTTTATTCTGACCTTTCTGAAATCCACTTGTCTAGATTTCAGGGGACATGTGAGACTATGTCCCACCTCCCATATAATATGAACTCTAAAATGGCGGGGTCACTGCTTCCTAAGGCTCCATCCAGGACAATACCTCCCGGCACTGCTTCCCCTGAACACAGCAGCGAGACAATTTAAGAATTGATCAATGGTTTTGCTTTTAGGAGAAAGAGACTGTTCAGGTGTCCATATAGTCAAGGGCTTGGTCAGTCACTCTTCTCTGTGGCTGCTGCATCGGCTTTGTGATCTGTACTGAGGGCTCTTGTTCACAGAGGTCCTCATGCCGAGTGCGTCAAGCTCTGGAAACACCGCGTCTCCCTCAGCAGGTCTGTTATCACTCAGAAGAAAGAGCTCGGCCTAATTCTCCTCACAAGAAAACCCAGATTGACAAAGAGAGAATGCCCACTGTTCACACTGTGAGACACAGTGGATGGACGGCCTAGAGAGCAGGCCCAACGGTGGCTAGATCTCGGACAGCGGTGGAACCAAGCCCAGAAGAGAATTGGAGAGAAATCTTTTAGTGTTTTAAAAGGCTTCAAGCTTCTCTCTGAAATAAAGCCCCATCTTTTAACATTATTCTTCTTCCAATGATGCTTGATAGCTGAGTCATGAAACGAATACAAATGTCTGAAGGATGAAAGTCATGGGTCACCCAAAGGACAAAGAGAATGAAGGTGCTTGCTGAGCACAAACGAGGTGCAGAATATGACTAAAGAATCATGCAGGAGGAGTTCATGCAAAGGATGCTATCAGAAAGATTCTGGCTGCAGAAGGGGCAGGCTGGTCACAGTTTAAGAGATGGATCATTTCGTGTCCCCTTGCCTCCATGGGAGATTAAGGGATCTAGATCAAGTACCCTAACTCGGAGTCAGTGAACCTGAGCTTTTTAAATATTCTGGTAACTATATTTCAGCACATTTGGTTTCTCTTGGTTTTTTTTGGGGGGGGGGCAATTGGGGTTAAGTGACTTGGCCAAGGTCACACAGCTAGTAAGTGTCAAGTGTTTGGTCTGAGGCCAGATTTAAACTCGGGTCCTCCTGACTTCAGTGCCAGTGCTCTATGCACTGCACCATCTAGCTGCCCCCTGTTGGGTTTCCCTTGTAATCCTATGTATTTTATTTTCCGTACTTAAGAACATCATTCTAAGGCTGCTGATACGCAATAAAGATTGAGAAGCCCTGATGTGGAGGAAGGACGCTGAGGGGACCCTGCATGCTCCTCTCCCATGTTCCCACAGATGACCGAGCTGCCCACTGAGGGTGGGCTGTCCTCAGCACCAGATGGCGCACTCACACTGATGAGCTTCCTGAGCCAAGCCAGCAAAGGTGGCAAAGCAGGAAGAACGCGGGCGCCCCTCTTTCTCTTTGTGTTGGCCGTCTGTTTTGCTTTTCTGTGGTCTCCCAGTAAGAATCAGGCGCTTGTCAGCGCCTAAGGGTAGTTTTCCTAATGATACAGGAAGGTGAGCAGTCAGCAGTGTCAGCACCCGGGCCAGCGCCAGGCCAAGGGCTAAGAACAGGGACCCTGGGGGATGATGAGTGGGAACTGTGAACAGGGGCTTATGGCTGAAGGCAGGATATGCTGTCTTGGCTACTATCTTTCTAACGTCTCCTGGAAAAACCAGCGTCCTCCCCATCTCCCTGAGGAGGGGCTGCAGGACGATGAAAGGGGAGACGAGCCTCAGCATCTGGGCTTGAGGAGCTGAAGAACGTTACAGAAATCACTAAGGGACAGACCTGTGACGGCAGGAGAGGAGGCAGGCCAGGCGAGGGCTCACCTGGTCACCCTGGCGGGCGATGACCGTGCCAGCCTTGGCATGATGCAGCAGCACTCGGCTGTTCAGCAGTGTGGGGTCCTGGAACAGGAAAGGACAAGAGGGTTCTCAGGATGGGGCCCCACGGCCTTCCTTCAAACCTCCTTGCCTCCGCCCCCTTCCCCGTCCCCATCCCTGTCCCCATCCCCGTCCCGTCCCCGCCTACCTCAATCTTCATCAGCTTCACCAGCTCCCGCTTGGCCGCCTCAATGATGCTACTGGTCTGACGGCCTTGGTACGGCCCGAAGGGGCAGTCACCCCCGGCTGACTCATCTTCACAAAAGCTGTACTCACAGGCCCCCGCTGGCTGTTCCCGAGGCTCCTGAGACATCGACTGGGTGGAACCAGGAAGTCAGGGAGCCCCTAGCTCAGACTCCCCTCCCCCCAACAACATTCCACCCGTGCAGCCTCACAAACTGAGAGAAGACTGCTTAGACCTAGCTGCCTGGCCAAAAGTGTAAAGCCTCAGGTGGGCTTGGGGGTTGGAGCGAAGATGGGGGTAGGGCCTCACCCGGGGCATGTTGGGTAGTGGGCTCCCTGAATTCTCCTCCTGAAGGGACACAGAAATCCGGCCTCGCTCATAGGCCATGTCAAAGTCAGAACGCGGACCCTGCTGCAGCCCTGGAAAGGGATGGAAGAAGGGAGGCCTTGGGGTCAGTCCCCCATCCCTATCCAGATGTTCCCCTCTTCCTTGACCCTTACCAGAGATGTCCACAGGCATGGAGATACACCTACTCAGCAGGGGGGCAGGAGGGGGCTCCAGAGAGGCCGGGGGCTTCACAGGATCCCCTGGAGAGGGGAGGAGGTGTGGTCAACCCTGACAGCCCCTCCTCTGCAACTCCACCATATCTGTACCTAGGTCTGGGGAACTGAGGAAGTAGAGGCCAGAAGAGATGGAAGGTTCTAGAAGAACCAGGTAGAGTGAGGGGCATCACAACAAATTCCTTCCAGCTTGGGACACAGGCTGCCGTTGACCCCCAGCCACCACTAGGGGAAACCGGGGGGTGGGGGGGATCAGAAAGCCAATCAGAAAGGCCACAGTGGGAACAGAAGGCTCGGTGTGCACACAAGGTATACTGAGGGCCCATCAGGAATTCAGGCTAGGAGTGTTTGGAAAGGAACCTGGGGGGCCAGGAAGGGGGGCTCCGGTAGGGTCCAGGGGCCGGGCAAGAGGATCCCGGGGTTCTTCAGTGGTAGAGGCACCGATGACACGTTTGGGACCCCTAACGGGGCTGGTTCGGGTCGGGAGGCCAGGGCTCGGGAACAGACGCAGGGGCTGCATCTCCTAGACAGAGCAGGTGAGGGTGTGGAGAAACGCTCCTTTCAGAAACAACCCTGCCCAAGCTCAGCCCCCCAGCACCTCCCCCTCACCCCCTCATCACCCACATGACTGAAGAGCTCATTGGTCAGGCCCAGGTAGTTGTGAAGAGCCAAGAATGTCACTCGCTGCAGTCGAACCATGATGATCTGCAGGTAAGCAACAAAAGCAAGGTCAGGGCCCCCAGAGAGGAGCTGAGGAGGAAGCAATGAGGGTCCCCAAAGAGGGTGGGGAGCCACTCTCAAGCCCTAGAAGGCCTTGGGGAGGGGGGAACCAACCTGCACAACTCGCACCAGGCTCTCGGGGTACTTTGCAAAGACAGCAGAGAAGGCTTCGACTGGCAGCCGTAACACGGTGGAGTCCCGGGCAGCCCGGGCGGAGACCGTCCTGTACGGACGCTGGTGCCCCTGAAGCGGCAAGGCATGGAATGAAGGAGGCAGGCACACCCTCCAGTCCAGCTCCCTTCCCCTCTGAGCCCCCAGAACTCACCGTGATGACGTCGAGGATGCTCAGGAGGCTGTTGACACTGTCCCCAGGGAAGACTTCCTTCACCACACACTCCTTCCCGTCCTGGAAGACGGCAGCCGCTAGCCTCCAAACGCCAGCACTAGACCACTGACTCTGACCCCCGACTTCTGGCCACCTCTTCCCTGACCCTCTAACCACCGATAGCCACTATCCCACAACCACTGCCCTCGTCTCCTGGTCACCTCCCTGACTCTGGCCTGATGCTGCTCAGCCCCCAGCCAGCCCTCTGACCAGCCCTGCTCACGGGGCCTGGGAGACAGAGCTCCAGCTGCCCATCCTGGACCACATAGATGCTGGCGTCCGGTTGGCCTGGCCGGAACACATAGTCACCCTGGCTCAGCCGCTGGAACACCATGTGGCGACAGAGCTCCAGGAACAGAGGCTTCTCAAAGTGGCCGAGCACCCTGTGGAGGGGAGGGGGCGTCAGAGCAGCCCCTGGCTCTGAGCCCTGCCCCGCCTCCCCACCCCCGCTCTCCGCTCACCGGACATTCTTGAGCATGTAGAGCACCTCGGAGGGTAGGTGCGAATTGGCCACATCAAACTCAGTGAGGTCGGCCTCCAACACAGCGGGAGGAGGCTCTTTCCGCTGCAGCGTCGGCGTCTCTTTCTGGATCCGAAGGATCCTGGGGGCGCGGGCGTCACGGGTTGAGGGACGATAGACCAGAATAGCCCCACTCCCCCGCCCCGCCCCAGGAGGCCCAGGCTCGTGGGGAGAGGGGGAATCCTTACTTCTTGGCAATGTTCAGCATCTTGAGTTTCTTCTTCATTCGGGGCCGGGAGGCTGTGGAGATCGTGGTGTCCACCAGGGAGGAGGTAGACTGAGAGACCTGAAGCAGGGAAGGGATCCATCAGCAGGCCCTAAACGTCCACATGCCCTCCCACCAGGCCAGACCAGCAGGAAGGGAGAGAAAACAAGGAAGGAGGGAGGAGAAGAGACAAGAGGGCAGTGAGTGGACTTCAGGAAGGGCAGAATGCACAGTGAAGGCTCCAACCTTGCGCATGATCTTGCGTCCGTAGAAAAGGACCTTGTCCCTCTTGCGGAATCGATACTTGGGAGTCTCCTGGGCCTGAACCTCTGGGAAGTCCAAGCACAGACCCACAGTGACCCCACACTCCCTCCAGGAAGTCCATGGCCCATCCAAAGGGCTCAGCCCAAGGCCTCTCAGAACTCCAGCCCAAATCCCACACGTGCCCAGCCCCTCCACTCCTTTTCCCCCTGGAGACGCCAACAGAGAGCCCCGAGAGAACCCTGGGAGGTAGCCTCACTCTTTGTACGCAGCCTCCGGACCAGCACGAGGATGAGGGTGGCCATGAGTAGCACAGCGGCCCCTACACCAATCATCATTCCCATCACCTGCAATGAGAAACACCAACTGTGCAGTCACACAAGATCCCAGCAAAGGGGAGCAGGAGAGGAACGCAACAGTTCACCCTTAGACCTGTGCCCCACAAGAACCCTCCCCCTACTCACCCCACCTCCACAGTACCCTTCACCTTGAAAATTCTCTCTTCTGTACCTATCCAAATCTCATCTGGGCTTCAAGGCTCAGCAAGTCTCACCTCCCTCTCAGAGCCTTCCGTCATCAGCCCAGCCCACAAGGATCTTCAACACTGAACGATTCAGCACCCACCGTCCCCATATGGCATTAGTGTGCTTCCCCTCATTCTCACGAGGCTCATTCTTCTACCAGACTGAGCTCGTTGAGGGCTGGGGCCACCCTGGCTCTCTTTGGATGCCCCCGGAAAATAATTGAACACATGATACCCGGAGGTCTCCATCACTCCTATGGGACAGTTGGCTAACGGTCACCCCAAAGGAGGCTCTGTGAAACCTGACTGGCTGATCGATAACATTAACGATTTCACTTCCCTTCTAGAGAAGATGGTCTTTAAGGACCCTTCCAGCTCTGTACTTCTGTTCATTTGATTCCAGGCCCCTGCACCAGAGTTCAAGCAGCCAAGACTTCAAATTATCCCCAGCAGAGCCAGATTGAAGGAAGCTAGGCATGCTGGAAGTTGTAGTTCCTACTAAGGCCGGCTAGGAATAGTGCACCTTGGGAGTCAGGGCCACTGATGCCTCGGAGCTGTCAGACTCACCAGGCTGGTCTGCAGTGGGTCCTCCACCAGCAGCTTGATATTGGGTAGCATGTCCGTCAGCGCCGCGTCCTGGAGGGCAGAGTAGGGACAGATCCTGGGGGAAGATAGCCTGAGCTTCTTCCCAATGCCAGGAGCCACCCCACAGCCACGAGGGGAATGGTAAACACCTGCCCTCGTTTCCCCAAATCCTCCAAGTCCACAAAACCACCTACCTGGGGTGGGGGCTGGGGCAGCTCAGACTCACTCTGGCCCATGTCTGCGGCTGGCTCTGGGGCTGCCTCTGAGGCCTGGCTGTGGCCCTGTGGGGCCCTGGGAGTCCAGGGGACAGGACAGGTGAGACAGGGAAGCTGGGGCTGGCCCCCCATGGCCATAGCTAGAGGAGTGGCCCCAGGATGTATGGATGGGGAGGGTGAGGAAAGGCCAAGCAAGTTAAAGAGAGGGTGGGGCTGCCCCATGAGTCCTAGAAACCAGAGGCAACATGCCAGCACATGCGTGGATCTGTCTTAGCTGCAATTCAAGTTACCCCACACTCCTCCCATCCCTCCATTAGTCCCAGAAGCTAAGGGCCTGCTCTAAGATCTCTAATCACCCTAAGACATTTCCCTCTCCTAGAACACAGGACAATGGAGGCAAAGAAGTGGAGGAAGGAAAGGGAACCTTGGTACTCAACCTCCCAACACTGCTCCTTTCTGACATCCCCAGCTCTCAAGGCCCAAGAGGAACAGAGGGACAGAGGATGAGATTGCTACAGGGCTGAGGTAAGAAGTCACTTCGTCCCAGCCCCACACTTCTTCTGATCCACCCCAGGACGGCCCCAGGATGGCTGTGGAAAATCCCCAGAGCCCAGGGCTTCACAGAAACGTGGGGGAAAATTCCACTGGTGCCAGAACCCCAACTAGCCTCTCCTGCTCTCCCCAAAAAGCAGGCTAGCCCTCCAGAAGAGAGGCCACAGGAGACTCTTTCTATATTTTACATAGTTTATATTTTATCCCAATGCTGACCCGTCACAAGAAAAACGAGCACAGCACACAGACCCCTCCTCCCCCAGGGAAGAGGAGGCCTCGGGTGAAGAACAATCTGGCCTCTGCCCTAGCTTGGACCCAACCCCCACCTCTTGTAGGGCTCCGCCCCTTTCCCCTTCCCCTTTTCAGTAAGACAACCCAAGCAAATTACTGGGGGACACTGGAATATCACTGACAGACACTCGGATGTAAATAGGGGTCACCGGTGGATCCCAGGAGACATTAGACTCTTACAGGGAAGCACTGGGGCATTACTGGGGTTACTGAGGACCACTGGGATGTTTCTGAAGAACACTACAATGTGCTTATTGAAGGGCATAATCGAATAGTCATCATAGCTAGCATTTCTATGGCACTTTAAGGTTTGCAGAGGACTTTACATGTGTTAACTTATTGGATTGATCTTCACAACTCTGTGAAGAAGGTGCTAGTATTATTATTATTTCCATTTTACAGATGAGGAAACTGAGGCGAAGGGAAGTAAGCGACTTGTCCAGGGTCACACAGCTAGGGAGTGTCTGAGACAGGCCTCCTATTCAGGTCTTCCTGAATTCAAGTCCACTTTCTCTCCACTGTGCTACCTGGTGGATCACTTATTCAAAAGAACAATTAAAAAACAGATTAAAAGGGGTGTGGAAATAGCAATCTATTTTAAGAAGATGAGCTCAGTGTGAGGAAATTCAGGAGACAGAATGGGAAACACGGTGGAGAATAGCTGGGTGAGGATCAAAGGAGAGACAAGAAAGCAGTATTGTCATGGGGCCCCACTGCCCAGGAACTCAGGTAACCCATCACAGCCGGGCCCCAGAGATGATGTAATGATGGAGTGGGACTGGATTTCAACCATCCACACATTTGCCCTCTCCGCCAAAGCCCAGCAGCTGACAGATTCTTCACTCATCCTTACGATCATTTCATTCTTCAAAAAGTAAAGGAATCAAACGGAGGAACTGCTGTAATGGCCCTGACTGACCTAACCAGACGAACCAGTTGCTAAAGAAGCGCCAGACCTGTTCCAGCTTGCAATTTATGTCTGGGGAGGAAAAGGGGGATAAAGCAGAACATGCAGCCTAGACTTGGAGACAGCGGCTTCCCAAGAGGCCAGAGAACAAGCAGGTTCCTATGGAATACAATGCTACGAGGTAAATCGGCCTGAAAGAGATGGGAAGCGACTAGGAATGACATTTCCAGGATGCAAACACAGATGATTCCTATCTAAAGGACAGAGGCAAATGGACATGGCACTAACTCATCGATCCAAATGCTTCCACAGAGATCTGCCGGCTAAAAGCTAATTAATTGAGGCAGCTAGGTGGTGCGGTGGATGGAGCACCGGCCCTGGAGTCAGGAGGACCTGAGTTCAAATCCGGCCTCAGACCAAACACTTACTAGCTGTGTGACCCTGGGCAAATCACTTAACCCCAGTTGCCTAAAAATAAAAAAAAAAATTAAAAAAAAAAAAGCTAATTAATCTTGGGCAGCAGGGAGGGGGACGGTGGCCCTCAGGAGCAAAATGAGGATCCTGTTCCACTGTGCATGGTCATGAACTGAGACTACCACACTTTAGGAAGAATCATTGATAAGCTCGGCTGGGTTAAGAGGAGGATGACCAGAATGGTGACGAGACCAGAGAGCACGCCATATGAGGACTGGATAAAGTAATGATGGATGTTCACCCCAGAAAGGGAAATCTTGGGGGACAAGACGGGCTGTCCTCACTATTTAAAGGGCTGTTGTGGAAGGTGGATGGGAATGGTAAGAAGTGGACAAGAGGCAGGTTTGGGGCTTCAAATAAAGCCTAGAACAAATGAATGAATGAATAAAATAAACAAAGCCTCCCTCCTCATCTCGGGATTCTGGCTTCCTTCAGGTGCCACTTTACAAGACTTTCTGGACTGCCCTCAATGCTGGTGCCTTCACTGCATTGATTACGTCCAGTGTATCCTATCTAGGTCTTGTTTATACACAGCTGTTTACCTATTGTCTCCACCATTAGACTAGGAGCTACTTCTGCCTTTCTTAGTATCTCCAGTGCTTAGCACCGTGCCCTGTGCCTGGCACAGGGGGACGTTTAATAAATGTTTATGGACTAACCAGTAGAGCGGTCAAAAAAACAGTCTGCTTTTGGAAACAGTAGATTCCCCCTCCCTGGAGGTCGTGCCAAACAGAGATTTGGGGACCACTTGTCAAGAGTTTCATAGAGAGAATCCTCGTTTGGATACCAGTTGGACTAGAGGGCTTTGGGAGATCAACATTCAATTTTGATATTCTAGGATTCTGGGAAAGGGGCTAGGAAAACTCCAGGACTTAACGAGGGCTAGGATGAGCTGAAGATGCTTTAGAGACCAAGAGTAGTCACTGGGTTGGGCCAAGCAGATGGACAGAATGGGGCGCTAGAGGGAGGGATACAAGGCAGAGAAACTAGGGGTGATGGGGCCTGGGGAGCTGGAAGAGTGAGGATCTGAGGAACTGAGAAGCAGAATTCAGCAGACTGAGAGGGCTGGAGAGACAGATGGGACCATGAGAATGAGGGAGGTTGAGAGGACCAGGAGCACTGTTCCTAGACACTTTCTCCCTCCTTTGTTTCTTTTTTCCACGACCCTCCTCTCCTGGTTCTCCTCATAGAATCAGAGCATCTCAGAGTTGGAAGCAAACTGCAACTAGAGGTCAGACTAGAGATCATGTAATCCAACCCGTACCCAGACGGAAATCTCTTCTACAGCATCCTCTTGCCTATGTGACCATCCCTTCCCTGGATCATCAATCCCTGTTCCAAACCTCCTAAATGTAGTTAAGTTACCTCACAAAGCACTAGCCCTAGATTTTCTTCATACTTTAAGTAATTTGTTAGTGATCTCATTCCCTTCCATGGATTTGATTTGACCACCTCCAACCAGACAAATCCCAGATCTACGCATCCTGTCCTGATCGCTTGTCTGAGCTCCAGTCCTACACACTCCACTCATTACCTGTTGGACATTCCCACCGAGATCTTCTGTAGAAATCTCAAACTCACCACGTCCAAAACAGAATCTGTCATCTCCGTCCGCCCCACCTTCCAAACTCTCCTGATTCACCACCATCTCTCAAGTCACCCAAGTTCACGACTGGAATCATCTTAGACTCTGATCAGTCGCCACGTTTTGTTGATTCCACTTCCACACCCTTTCTCAAATTCACACCTTCTCTGCTCACACAGCCACCAAACCCCTTATCCTCCCTTTTGTGGATTTGGGTGGGGGGTGTGCAGGAGGGAGGGGGAAACCAAAAATGGCTATTAGAGAGCTGACATCCAAGACAACTATGAAAAAGCAAAAGCACACCCAGATGTCCTTGAGGACCTCAAGGAACCCACCCCAGGTGAACTCTGTCTCTTTGGGTAATGAATGAATAAGTATGTGTACTTTCAGACCATTGTCAGGGCCTTCAAAGGACACCAGAGGGACGGGTTAATGACCAGGCGTCAAGAAGACACGAGTTCAAAGATTTCCTCTGGCACAAACTGGCTGTCACTTAACCCCTTAAGTGTCCCATGAAATTCTCTAAGGTTATAAATTGCAAAGCAAGCCCACTCATACTGGTAGAAGGTCCTCACCAGAAGTTCCCTACGTCATTTAAATCACAGGCCCAATTTGGAGGAAAAAATAATACGGAAAATGACATGCCACAGAACTAGCAAAGGGTGAATGTAAAAAAGAGAGAGAGAATGAATAGGGTTTCCTAAATGTAAACCTATGAACTTGTCTATGATCTGTGGAGAAATTCTAGAATCTATTACTAAAAGGTGAACATCTAGACAATAAAGTGGTGATCACAAAGAGCCAGCATGGCTTTGATCAAGAATAGTTCAAGTCAGACAAACCTTACTTCCATTTTTGACAGTGTTACTAGCCTGGTAGGTTAGTGCAATGGTACAGATGTAGTTTACCTAAATGTTTGCAGAGCATTTCATAAAGACCCTCATACTGTTCTTTTGGAGGGAAAAAAGAGAGAGGTATGGGCTAAATGACAGCACAATTAAGTAGAGATCTGGAACTGGCTAAAAAGCCTAAACTGAAGAGTAATCATTAATGGTTCAATGTCATCTTGGCAGAAGGTCTCCAAGCAGAGTGGATCAATGATTCTGTTTTTGGCGATGTACCAAAGTCTTCATTTTCAGCTACATCAATGACTTGTATAAAAACATCGCTGGCATGCCTACAAAATCTGACAATAACCCAAAGCTGGAAGGGAAGAGTGAGGGAGAGCTAACACAATAGACAGCAATCAAGATTCAATGAGCTGCCTCACAAAGCAGCAGGCTCTCTCATGGGAAGTCTTCAAGCAAAGGTTTCGTGACTTTTGACTATAAAGAGGAAATGACTCTTTTTTAGTTATCAGATTAGAAAGATACTTAGTCTATTCCCACTCTGAAATACTTTTATTCTGTGATTCAGGAAACTCATAATTAAACATACTTTTTCTTTGTAAAAAAAAATCAGGATAAAAAAAATATTGCTGAGCTAGAACAAAGAGTCAAATATGATAAGAAACTTAACAGGAACAAAGGTAAAGTCTCATACATCAGCTCAAAAAATTCAACTTTGCAAACACAAAGTGACAGAAGTACCACCCCACAGCAGTTTGTGGAGAAAAGATAAGGGTGCTTTGGTGGCATGTGAGTGCCATGTCAATTAACTCTGTGGCATAGCAACCAAGAAAATTGATGTGATCTTTGGCTGGACTGAGAGGCATCCCGGACTAAGGAATCACAGCTCTTCCATACTCTGCCCCATTAGACAAGGAAAGTATCATCAAATAAAGCATTCCGGAAGTTCTAAGGACAATTCTCAGGACACTTATAGGGCTGGGAGCATCGGGAGGAGGGGAACCAGGACAGAGACTGGCTCCAAGTTCACTTGGTATAAGGGTCATTCTCATCCATCCGGGATACAACACAGCTGCCCAAAGGAATCCTCCTTAAGCAGACATCTGACCATGGCAGTCCCCAACTCAAACTCCAGGACCTCCCCAGGGTACAATATCAATGCCTGTCTGGCTTTTACAGCCCTTCACAACCTGGGCCCCAGTCTCTCTTCCCAGGCTTCCCTCGGACCAGTTCAACTGGTCTTCTCTCTGTTCCTTACAAGGGGCTCTCGGTCTTCCCGTCTCCATGCCTTTGCACTGGCCGTCCCTCATGCCTGGGATGCCCTCTTTCCATCACCTCCTTTTCACAGACTCTGCAACACCTGGTGCCCAGCCCTCTGCCCCACCCTGCATTCATTCTGTCTATAAGTCCCCCTGCACAAGTCCCAGGCGGTGAGTTCTCATTTGGTCTTTGCAGGCTCACAGCGGTGACCTGACAGAACATTACCAGCTGAAGCGCTGAGGCTTAGCCTGGAAAGGACCTCCAAGCACGGGCAGGGAGCACGGCCTGGCCCCCCGGGAAGCTGCGAAGGGCCCCGGCTAAACCGGACCGCAGGGGATGGTTCGAGCAGCGCCAGCTACCGGGGGAGGGGGGCGGGGGGGCTTCCTGCCCCGGACGGTCCCGGGCCAGGAGGCACGCACGCAGAGGAGGGCGGGCCTGAACTGGCATCCGGATCCAAGCCTGGAATTCACCCCCCACGCCCCTCCCCCGGGGAGGCCCCGCCCCGCCTCCCCAGAGCCGGTTCTCCGCCGCCCGCTGACAGACGCTCCTTTCCTCGGGAAATCCCCCGGTACTTGGTGGTGCCGGGTTCTATGCCCCCCAGGATAGGGGCTCCCGCCTGGAAGGAGGAGGCGCCCGGCTTCTGTTTGCTGGTCTTTGCATCCCCAGCATCGGGCATATAGTAAGCGCCCCATAAATGCTTCGGTTGAATTAAACTGACTCAGGGAACCGGGGAAAATGAGAAACTGGGGGGAGGACGGGAAATGAGGGGGATCAGAAGGGACGAGGGGGATGAACTCCAGGGATCATCCCAGTCCTCCCGCTGTCACGGACACCGCCCCGGGATCACGCGCCGGGGACCCGGACTCACCAGGGCCCGCAGCCGGCTCAGCTCCGCGGCGTCGCCGCCGCCTGTCCCTCCACCACCGCAGCCTGAGCGGAGGCGCGGCCCCTTTAAATTACAGCTCCCGGCGCGCTGCGATGACCTCACGCTTCCGCCCCGCCCCTTCTCGGCCACCATACTCTTTAGCTTGCGCGGAGGGGCACCGCCATGCTAAAAATGGCCGCGAGACTAGGCTGTTTCGAGCGTCCGAGATATGGGCCCTGCCCACCCCTGCAAGCCTGAGGCCGCTGCTCCCCGCCCCCCACCCTCAACGGAAAGGGCTCCTGAGGTTCATCTCCGCCCCCGCCGTGACGCAGACTCAGAAACCAGACATGGCGGGCGTCCCGTGTTCATCTTTTATTGTTCCCCCGCGCAGGCCAGTCCTGCTACAAAAGGGCCCGGGCTCGGTCCCGCCCCGGCCTAGCGCGGCCCCGCCCCGCTGAGGGACTCCCAGGCGGGAGGCGCCGGGCCTCGGGGACCGAAGTCCCGCTGGGGTGGCGGAGTTCCCTTGGCCCCACGAGTCACTTCCTAAAAGCAAACCCTAAAACCATAAATACGGCGCTGGAAGCGTCCAGTCCAATCCCACGAGGGGCTAAAAACCTCGCGTGACTTTTCCGCGGTCAGTTCACGAGCAGGGAGTTTTCCTGCAAGGGTTCCCTGGAAAGAAGCAGAAAAGCAAGGGTGGGGAGTGGGAAAGGCAAGGTCCCCGGGGAGCGCCCCCTCCCCCAAACCCCCCTCCAGGATCGGGGTACCTGGAGCAGCAGCAGCACAAGAGGCTGCAGGCGCTGCCGCTGCCGCGCCGGAACTTGCCAGAGGTGGGGCTGTCCTGACACTTGGCGATGTAGGCCTGCAGCTGGCTGCCCTGGGCCTCGCCCTCGGACTGGTGCTGCTGCAACACGCAGGAAGGGCCTCCGTGAGGGGGCGCGTGGGGGGGGGTGCCAACGCGCGTGTGCACAGAGTGGGGCTGCTGACACACAACTGCATGTGGTTTGTATGTGCCGGTGTGCACGTGTAGGTATGTGCAGAACTTGGCACGGGGCCAAGAGTAAATCATTGGTAGGTGCCCCATAAGCATATATGTAAGTGTATGGATAGGTGGTGATGAGATGCACCTACTAGAGCTGGGCCCTCCCCATCCCAGAAGCTGAAGGGACCAGGAGAGGGAGGGGCCAAGGACTGAGGCAGGCCAGGGACAGGCAGAACTCCAACTGCAGAAGGACCCTACCTTGATAGTCTCATAGGAGCCAGTGATGAGAGCGATGAAGAGGCTGAGAACCATGTAAATGAAGAGGCTGATGAAGGAGTAGAGATAGAGCTGGGAGAAAAGCCAGACCAGGCCACTGTGCGCTTGCATGGCCGCAAAAGTCACAAACATGTCATCCCCATTGATGAGTGAGAACAGGCACTCGGACACCATAGAGAGAGAACGAAACTGGAAGAGACCAAAGACCGGTCTGGGTGAAAGAAAGGGGCTGGTGGGGGGGGCGGTTCCAAAGTAGAGAAATCTAAAGGGCCCTCTCTTCTTCCAACTGTTCTATTTCTCCTTCTTTTATCGTCCACAAAAGTCCTCCCTTAAATAGCCATTCTCCCAGACCCCAAGCCAGGCTCAGAGGAACAGAACTGCCACCCAGAAAACCTCCCACCAGGACAGGGCCCAGCCCTCATTCCCCTGCCAAGAACCACAATTGATGTCCTAAGCACCTTCATATGGTACGGCCCCAATACTATCCAGCCACAGAAACAGTAGCCTAGGTAGATGACAGCCACGCAACAGCAGAAACGCATGACGCTGGGCAAGGCCACTCGGAGCGTGGCAATGAGGATCTGGAGGGGACAGAACAGTGGACATCAAGGTTATCCCAAGGACTGGCCAGCCCCGGCCCCTCTGAGACTGGGAGAGGTCAGGGTTCACTAAGGATGCAGGCCCGTCAGTCCCAGTCCCAGTCCCAGCCCCTCTCTGTTCAAGATAGGGAGGTGGCCTGCTACAAGCCTGGCCTATGGTCACAGCCCTCCCACTGGCTGGGGTGGGGGGGAACAGGAGGGTCTGGGCAGGAGCCAGGCTTCTAATATGGAGAGCCGCGGAGGGTAGTAGGGTCTGGGCTCAAGCTGTATTTCTGGCCACAGCACTTCTATGTTCAAGACAGAGAAGAGGCCCGGTACAAGCCTGGCTCATGGTCATACAACCTTCCCAAGGGCTGTGAGGGGAGAGGGGCTGGGCAGGAGCCAAGGCTACTATGGAGGGAAGGGGAGGGCTGCAGGGTCTGGGCTCACATTGTATTTCTGAAAGAAGGTAAGATATCGGATTACGCCAACCCAGACAAGCAGAGTGGAGGTGCCCAGCAGGATGCTGCAGACGTCATAGCTGGCCAAGTTCTGGGGGCACAGGGAACTCCCATCAGCTCTAGGGGGACACAGCCCCTACCTGATGCAGGTGTCTCCTCAGCTGTTCCCTTGTGCACTGGCCCTCATCCATCCTGTGCTGTACGAAGGGTGCATGAGTGTGTGTGCACTTACTTGCGGACTTGAAGACAAAAGAGCAGAGTCAGATGGGAAAGAGGGCAGTGCCCAGGGGTGGGAGGAGCAGGAGAATAAACAGGATAGTCAAGACTTCTAAGAGAGTTGCTACCTCAGGCCCCAAAGGACATGCGTGGAGATATAGTGGAGAGAAAATGCAGGGACAGGGAATAGGGGCAGGGAGGAGGATGGCCCACACAGCAGACACCAGAGGGGATAGACTCACAAGCATGGAAACCAAAGGGAAAGAGATATGAGAAAGACAGGGTTTTTACAGAATAGGAGCAACAAAGGTTTCTTGGAGACACAAGCCTAAGCCAGAAAAGGAGACAGACCTTGGGGTGTGTAGCAGTCCTACCTTGAGATGGCTCCAGAGAGAACCTGGGCCCTCGCCCCAGACCATGGCCTGCTCGCAAGGCCCTACTATGAGGTCAGTGTGGAGCAGGGATAGGGACCCCCAAGAGCAGTGGTGGAGCCCAGTGTTTACTCTCCCCCGCTCCCCTATCCAGCCCTCGATTCCCTTCCAGAAGTCTCCCCTCCTCCCCACATGACCTTCTCCTATACCCTAAGGACACTCCCTCCCCCTCTTCTCTCCCTTCCCCCCAGCAAGGGGACCTGCCTGACTTCTTGGGCCTGGGAGGCTGTATCCCCCAGCCCACCTTGGCCTCAATGCCAATCTTCATGATAGTGCCAGATATGGTGAGTACGTCACTGGCCACGAGAAGGATGTACCAGCCATTTACAAACTCCAGCCGCTCCCACAGGCTCAAGGCATGACCCTGGCGGCAACGCAGGAAACGGGCAAATTCCTGGGAAATAGGGAGAAACCCTTTAAAATGCCACCCGAGACACCTGGGTTCCCTTCCCTCTCCCCAGTCATCCTTGCTCTGGGGGCACTTCCAAGACTATGCGTGGTGGGAACTTGAATGGTGGGAGGGCAGCAGCAGTTAGGAAGAAGGAAGAAAAGGTGTGTAATCCTAAATCTCACAGTTTGCAGCAGGAAACCACGAAGCAGCGAACGGGAACAGAGCAGGAAGGACAGGGCGCAGGTCAGAATCACGACCACGTCAAAGAAGAGGCGAAACCGGTTGTCTCCTGGAGAAGAGATGGTGGATTGTGGGAGGCGAGAAAGTGGTGACTTAGGGAGACCAAGGCACAGAACAGAAGGGAGGGAGAAGAGCACAGCCAGGGTGTCAGGCCTTACCGTGCCCAAAGACACTGGGGTGTTTACATTCCTGAATGTGGGCACTGGTCTCCAAGCTGATAGGGACTCGCCCACTGTGGGCTTTGTTGTCAAATGTAACCTGGAGATAAAACAGAATTGTTATTGTGACAATCCACGTGGAGAGGGCCGAGAAGCGGGAAGACCTGCTCCAACCAATTCAGAACGAAATAAGCAGATTGAGAACAACACGGTCGTCATCATAACAGCTAACATTTATTTTTTAATAGTATTTTACTTTTTCCAATTACAAGTAAAGAAGTTTTCAACATTCACTTCCATAAGAGTTTTAGTTCCAAACTTTTCTTCCCCTCCCTCCCTTCCTTTCCCCCTCCCCAAGTCAGGCAAGCTATCTGATATAGGCTATACATGTACACTCACATTAAACATATTTCCACATTAGTCATGTTGTGAAAGAAGCATCTGAACAAAAGGGAAACCACAAGAAAGAAAAAAAAAAGAGAAAACAGTATGCTTCATTCGATCTGCCTTCATGGTTCTGCCTCTGGAGGTGGACAGCATTCTCCATCATGAGTAACAGCTAACATTAACGTAGGGCTTCCTATGTGCCAGGCCCTATGCTAAGTGATTTACAATTATCTCAACTGGTCCTCACAACAACCCTGGGAGGCAAGTGCTATTATTACCCCCTCTCTACAACTGAGGAAACTGAGGCAAACAAAAGTTAGTTAAGTGACTTGCTCAGGGTCACACAGCTAGTGAGGATCTGAGTCCACATCTGAACTCAGGTAGTCCTAACTCCTGACCTAGTGCCCCCTGGCTGCCTATACACTGATGACAAACAGAGAAATGAAAAGGACAATGAGACTGACCAAGCCTGGCCCTAGGAGACAAGGAAGTGCCCCACCCCCACCTTCCCCACAGGGTAGAAGGGAGAGGGTCTTCATCACCACCCCCACTCCCATCCCAGGGCCCACTCCGGGTAGCTTCTCAGGAGCTCTTTCCCACAGGCTGAATGGTAATGACTTTCCTTCCCCAGGCCCACCTGCCTCAACACAACAGCAATTGCTCTCATCAAAGTGCTAGCCCCATGACAAACTTGGGAGGCAGCAGTGAAAGCTGACCCCATCTCAAAGAGGGGTCAGATGGCTTGCTGAGGGCACAGCCTCCTGCCCCCTCTGACCCTGCAGCTCAGGAGGAGATCATGGCCCTCCCTGCTCACAGGTCTACAGGGGCTCTGCACAAACTTTTAAGGACACAGTCCAGACTAAGACCCTCCAGAGTCAGCTTGGAGATAGGTCTCCTCTTCCCTCCTGTCTGAGATCCTTGTGGGCAGTCAGAATTCTAGAGCAGACCTGGAAGGGCCCTCACAGACCATCTATTCCAACCCTCTCATTTTACAGAGAGAACAATGAGGGAGGCTTAGAGAAAGTAAGGGATTTGCCCAAGGTCACACAGCTATGAAGGAGCAGATGCTGCATTTGAACCCAGGTCCTCCATAAACTCCGAATCCAGTCTTCTCCACCATACTCTGCTGCCTCCAAGTTCCAGCACCATTTAAAAACCAGGCTGATCTCTTCACTCTCCCTGCAGCACACCAGGCTCCAGCTGTCTCCCCTATCTGTAGTTCTGTCCAACCAAGGGCTACCCATCCCCTAATCTGCCAGAAAACCTACTCAGCCCACTCTGGGTTAGCCATTGCTCAGGCTCCGACGACAGTTCATCTGTAAAGCCTCCCACCCCACAATGGTTTACAGGCAAAAACACAGGGTGGGAGCACAAGATGAAGGTGCCGCCCCACCCCAAAGCTCACCAGGATGGTGAAGGTATAACAGTCCGGGATTTCATTGTTGATAATGGTCTGCAGGTTGATGGTCTTGAGCTGGAAACGGATGGTGACGTTGATCAGCCTGAGAGGTGGAGTGGAGATGAGGAGATGAGATGAGGTGAAGGAGGACGGAAACAAGGGAAGCTTCAACTCTTCTCCCTCTTGGCCCATCAGCACCTGCTGCCTCCTGGGAAAGCCCAGCTGGCCCTGCTCTTCTAGTGTGTGTGTGTGGGGGGGGGGTCTAGGCAGCTCTGGTGACTCTGCCATTGTTGCTTCCTGATCAAATTTTGAGGAAGTCTATCTGAAGCTGGGGTCATGCACACTGTCTCCCTTCCCCTGGCATTCCTTGTTGGAAGGGGGAGGGGGTAGCAGACAAGACAACTAGGAGACTCTTTCCATAGACCCACATAAAGAAACAGCAGAAGCTGCAGTTGGGGGAAGGAGGGGAATGCAGAAAGAGAAACAAGGATCAGGGAGTCAAGTACTTGTGAAACTTGAGTGTGAAGTTCTTGTAGCTACTGCCTCCTGATGGGGACAGAAAGATCTCCTGGTCTGGGGGCAGAGGGTACCGCTCTGCAGGGTCCACTCCGATGCAATCTGGGAAGAAAGGATGAGAATCAGCCAGGCCCTCTGTGCCCCTGCCAGAGAACAACCTCTGAGGGAGGGGGCAGGTGGTCTCTCCACGGAGGCTCCATAACTCAGACTTCAAGCCTCCAGGCCTCCAAAGCCCAGCACTGGCTGGCCAGCAATTCAGGCTGAGGTGTGCTGAGGGCCCCAGGGCATTGGTTCTGGGAATCACAGAGACCAAAAGAATGTGGCTGTAATGAAAAGAACACTGAATTTGAGGTTAGAGGCCTTGGGTTCAAGTTCTGGCTCTGCCATTTAACAACTGGGTAACCCTGGGAAGTAACTCACCCAATCTCTCTGAGTCTCACTCTCTCTCTCGGTAAAATGAAGAGACTCACACTTGTATTCCCTCCCTCACAGGACTGGTGTGAACAGAGCCTCACAGTACCTCAGGAATGGAAGCTATCAGGATTATAGTGGAAGAAGGGATTCCAAACACTGAAGAGAACAAGGCAAGTTCCAAGGAAAGGAGAAAACTTGTTAAAAGATTCACGAGACCCTGGTGGCCCTGTGACATCTGTCACTAGGGGTCCTTTTACCTCTGCTTGCCTGATGTCTTGGGGAGCAGGAGACACACTTCCAGGGTCAAAGGCCTTAAGGAAAGGAGGGGAAAATCCAGGAGCATAAAAAAACAGGTCAAAGAAGAGGGTGGGCAGGCCCTAGGAAGGGACAGGACCAGAACGTTCCTGGGATGGGAGGCCCTGGCGGGAGGCCCCAGGGGTATTCCTGAAAGGTCTCAGCCCTTTTTCTTCACTCTCCCCCTCATCTTCACATCCCCCATACTAACCAGTGACTACCATCGGATCAATGTTGAAGGTGTCGTTGGCAGGGTCGATGTGCCCGTGGCGATAATACCGTTGACACAAAGCTAGGGCCGAGCCGTTTGCCCCAGGGCCTCCCCCACCAGGCACATAGGCATATCTGCCCAGGGACTGCTCAGGGATCTGCAAGTACTGGTAAGTGACAAAGAAGTGGGCAGCGGTAGGAGGGAAAGGAGTCATTACCTATCCACCCTGAGCTCTGTCCCTACCCCTACAATCCCCAATCCCAGATGATTTACTCCCCTCAACATCTCCATATACTCATACCTGGTCCACAGCAAAGATGATGGACTGGTTGAGGTCAGCCTGAGTGTAGACAGCATAGCTATCATCAGCCCCATCTGTATAATCCTTGAGGAAGAGATGCTTGAAAGCCACCGTATTCTCCTCTCGAAACATCACCACAATCTGGTTACTGAGCCCAAACAGGATGAGCTGCCAGGGAGGGGGCAAAGAAGAGGATGCCAGGGATGACACTGAGACAGAGCCCCCCCAGAGGCTGTGATTCTGACTTCATATCCCTGAGTCTCAAAGCACAACTTCCTTCCCAGACAACTACATCTCCTTTTAGTCCTGGATGAAAAGGCAGCAGGGGGTAAGGAAAGGAGAGAAAGAAGTCTCCTCACTCGTGGGAGATGACTAGGGCCCTGGGAGAAGGGTAAGATGGGGCACCCGAGGTCTGAAAACCAAAGCTAAGAATGTGGGTAAGAAGAACAGCCTTCCCTCTTTCTCTTCCCCACTTGAGTGCTGCCCCTCCTCCCCCATTACCCTTAGGCAGCCCCCACGGGCACCTGGATGGTGACGATGAGGATCTTGGCAACCTGCAGCATCAGCTTGAAGGGCTTTCGACCCTTGGCCCGGAACTTGTCACAGGGACTCATAAAGAAATACTTGAGACGCCGGCGTAGGTCTTCCTCCTCACTGACAGGCAGGGAGTCTCCCTGGGACCCATAGCCAAGCCCAGAGCTGGGACCAAGCAATGGCGCTCGCTCTAGGGTTGGAGGGAAAGGGCCCTTAGAAACTGTGACTCTGCCTTCCCCAATCGATAAATGGCTGAAAGGTGCTTTTTAGGGGAAGAAATCAAAGCTATCAATAGCTGTATGAAAAAATGTTCTAAATAACCAATAATTAGAAAAAAATGCAAATTTCAAAAACCCCCAACCTCACACCCATTCAGCCTGGCAAAGTTAACAACAAAGAAAAATGAAAAACACTGGAGGGATTGTAGGAAAATAGTGTATCAGTCCAGTCAGTCTGGAAAGCAGTTTGGAATAACACCCCAAAAGTTACTAAATGTAAGAATATCCTGCAACCCAGTAAAACCAGTATCAAGTGTATACCCCAAAAGGCTCAAACAAAGAATAAAGAGACCTATGTGTACAAAAATATTTTTATTAGTAGTGGCAAAGAACTGGAAATGGAGGGGGTACCCCTGAACTGAGGAATGGCTAAACAGGTTATGGTGTTTGAATGTGATGCTGTAAGAAATGATGATAGGGACTCTGTCAGAGAAACCAGGGATAACCTATATGAACTGATACAAAGCGAAGTGAGTAGAGCTAAGAGATCAATTTCTATAATAACGACATTACAGTCAGATAAACAACTGTGAAAGAACTCTGATCGATGCAATGACCAGCCACAATTCCAGAGGATTCATGAACAAACATGCAGTCCACCTCCTGAAAGAGATTCTAGCGAAGACTAAGGGGCATGGCCAATGGGGGAAGTTTATTTTGCTTCATCATACGTGTGTAACTATTTCTTTCTCGACAGGGCAGGGGTAGGGATGGGGAGGAAAGGAGGAGAAAGAGAAGCTGGATTTTCACTGATTGAAATAAAAAAAAAATTTTAAACAAAATGAAAAAGAAACCACGGCTCTCCATCTCAAGGGCCAGCCGCCCTGCCTTTTAGGGTATCTCTGATGCCCAGCTTCACACAAGAGGAAGCTCAGACGTTCAGTATGAGACAGCTCAGCCCAACTGAATTCCCTCAGAGTCTTTTTCAGGACCAAAGAGAAAGAACCTTCTTCTCAAGTCCAAGAAATCCCTAAATGCTTCTCACCACATTGAATCTCTCTGGGCCTGTTTTCTCACCTGTAAAAATGAAGGAGTCACGACTAGATGATCGTTCCCAGCCCTAAACCCAGGATGGACCAGCAGAGGAGCCGAGAGCCAACATTCCCAGAAGAATTCGAGCAGGTCCCATCTCTGGTACTTAACCCTGGCCTGACTAGAGTCCCCCTCCTGCTAAGTAATAAGCAATAGGAGCAATCTCATTCCCATTGTGCTTGAAGATTTAGAAATCAATTTTCTTCAGAACTGAGTTAGAAAATGCAAATATTAGCTGCCCCCATTTCATAGATAAAGAAACTGAGTCTTCAAAAGGTTAAGTGACTAGCTATTGAGTCTACAACAAGCAACTCCATTAATTCCATGTTTTTATCTATGAAGTCTTGCTCCCTCTCCAGTCTGGGGCTCGGTGAGCAAACCTGGCTACACAGGCAGACAAGGCATGAGCTGGCAGGAATCCCCGGGGAAGGAGGACGTGGTCATTGCTGGGAGTCAAAGTCCCTCCTAAACGCTTTCCCTTTCAGCTATCAGGCCTTCTGCATAATAAATTCCTAAAAAGGGTCATTTCCACTCACTGCCTCCACTCCCTCACCACCCACGACGTCAATGAACATTTAAGTACCTACTACGTGCCAGACACAGTGCTAAGCTGAAGGCCGTCCTCGATCTCGGGAACTCTTGTAGTCTGACTTGACCCTAACACTTAAGTTGCCAATAATCCACCTGGGTAATTCTGCTGGTCTTTCCTCCATCTCTTACTCCCTCAGTCTTTCCTTGGTTTCCAACTCCCCATCACCTTCCTGCCCAGGAAAGCTTCAGGAGTTTCCTCACAGGTCTCTCAGCATCCAGGCTCTCCCCTCTCCCAGTGCTCTTGACAGTTGCCAAATGAGATTCTTCACACATAGCCCTGAACTCATCGCTCTCCTACTGAAGTACCTTTAGGGGTTCCCTAACGCAGCCGAGGCTGAGATGTCAATTCCTCCTTTGATTAGCACTGACACAATTGAAACACGACTTAATGACAAATCGTAGCTAGGGGAATCCAGAAAGAGGTGGCCCTGGAACTGAGCTCAGAGGGGAACCAAGGAGTCTAAGAGGTAGAGGTCAGGGCAGAGTGCAGCTCAGACCTAGCAGACAGCATGTTCAAGGGCAAGGAGCCTAGAGATAGATGGTCAAACAGTAAGTAGCCTCACCTTGTCTGGCTGGATCTTAGGGCCCAGGAAGGGAAGTAACGTGCAATAAGACCAGAAAGGTAGCTTAAGTCAAAACATGAGGGCCTGAAATGCCCAACAGAAGAGCAAGTATTTTATTTCACTGCAGTACCTCTGCAAAGGCCTGGAGGTGAGAGACAGACTCGAGTGTGGGAAACACCAAGGCTAAGGCAATAGGCCAGGAGAGGTAACCAGGGGTTGATCTAGATGTCACCTTGTAAGAGAACAGAAGGGGAGAGATGCAGTATGTATCTCACAGAGGTAAAATCAACAAGATGACTCAAGATATGTAAGGAACTGCTTCAAATGTATAATAAGAATAGCAAGATGGCACAGTGGATAAAGTACTGAGCCTGGAACCAGGAAGACCTGAAATCCAGCCTCAGATATGTTCTAGCTGTGTGACCCTGGGCAAGTCACTTAACCTCTGTCTCAAAAACCTAGGGAGAATATTCAGAAAGAGGGACTGGTCAACAGAATTAAATATGAAATGCTGCAGGAAGTCAAGAAGGGTGAGGACTGAGAAAAGATCCTTGGATTTAGCAACTGAGACATCATACCTAAGATCAGAGGTGAGAATCCAGACTGGAATGGGTTGAAGAGCTGGAGGAAATAAAGTAAAGGCAAGAAGTATAGTGGTTTTTTACAGATTCTGGCTGTGAAAGGGAAGAGCAAGGACACCAGCTTGAGAGAGTACTGTGGGGTCAACTGAAAAGTTTTTAAAAGTGGAGAGACCTGGGTATGTCTATAGACAGCAGGGAAAAAACCAGTAGATAGTGAGACAGAGGGGAAGTGACTGAAGAGCCCAATAGGCACTGGGATAAAGGATGAAAACAAGTACTATAGAAGGCTGAACCTTAGCAAGAAGAAGAAATACTTCTAAGCAGGAGTTTCGGAGGCATCAAAAAGGGACCTCCGGATAGACAGCCAGTCAGTCAAGTTGAAGACAAGGTCCCCCTGCCTAGAAGAAGGGAGGGAGTAGTGGAGAGGGCTTGAAGAGAGAACAGCCACTCTGGGCTTTCCAAATTTACTTCCCATTCCTCCCTTCCCAAATGACATTCCAGTTAAACCAGGCCTCCTAGATGCTCCCAGCCTCAGCATTCCATCCCAGGCCTCTGGGCTTTTTGCACAGGCTGTCCCATCATGATTGGAACGCACTCCAATTCTACCTAAGAGCCTTAGAATCCTTCACTTTTAAGGATTTAAAAGGTGGCACCTTTGAAAAGAAGTTTTTCTTTGTTTCCTCAGTTGTTAGTAACCTCTCCCTTCCATGACTGTTGACTTGCCTTGACCTTTTCTCCTCCCTTGCAATACTGCTTTCTCCTTATTTTCCTCCTCCCTGTCCTCTGGGTTGGTTTACCATCCTTCTCCCACACTCTAAGTATGGGTGTCTCCCAAAGTGTTTTGTCCAGAGTCCTCTATTTCCTCTCCACATTCTGCCTTGGTGATCTCATCTGTTCTCATGAATTCAATTATCACCTTTTCACAAATGACTCCCAAATCTTGAAATCCAGTGCTGCATCTTCAACTGCTTGCTGAACATCTCAGTCTGGATTTCCTCCTGGCAATTCAAACTCTGCATGTCTAAAGCTGAAATTCTATTTCCCCCTAAACTTGCCCCTATTCTCAACTTCCCTATTTCTGTGGATGACACCACTGTCCTTTTGAGTCCCTCAGCTTTAAAACCCTGAAGTCATGGTTGAAAGGAAGTTTTCCTTTCCTCCTCTCATATCCGATCAGTTTCAAAATCCTGTAAATTCTTCCTCCAACACTGCCCTCCTCTCCACTCACCCAGCATCACCTTAGTTCAGAATACCATTTAATCTAGACTTTCTTTTTAAATTCCTCTCCCTCCTTCCAGTCTGTCCAATTTCCAGTCCATCATTCTTGGTTACTAGAATAATCTTCCTAAGGCACAAACTAGACTGTGTCATTCCTCTGCTCAGGAGAAACCTTCAGCAGTTCCCTCTAAGACAGGCATTCTTTTTTTTTTGGCTAGGCAATGTGGTTAAGTGACTTGCCCAGGGTCACACAAGTAGTGTCACATAGTGTCTGAGGCTGGATTTGAACTCAGGTCCTCCTGAATTCAGGACTAGTGCTCTATCCACTGCACCACCTAGCTGCCCAAGACAGGCACTCTTAATGTGGGGTCCACAGATTCCAACACATCTTTGAATAGATTGCAGGAAATCTGCAAACGTGGACAACCTTATTTTTACTCATCTCAAATTGAATTTTTGTCTCCTTCAATAATTTAAAAACTTTCTTCTGGAAAGGCCACCACCGGTTTTACCAGACTGCCGAAGGGGCCTATAACACAAGATACATTATGAACCTGTGCTCTGGGATTTTGGGCCCTCTGCAGCCTAGTTCCAACCTCCCTGCAAAGTCGTATTTCATATTTTTCTCCTTAAAGACTCCACACTCCAGCCTCACCAGACCACAAGCCTTCTCCCACCCACAGATATTTTCGAAGGTCCTACCCCACCAGGCAATCTTCATCTCAGTTTTTCAGGATCCTTATCTTCTTTTGAGGATCAGCTCAGGTGTTACCTACTCCTTAAAGTTTTTCCTGATCCATTTGGCTGGAAGTGTCCTCTTCCTGTTCAAATTTTCCTACAGCACCTAGCTGTGATCTCTTTTTGACCCCATCGATCTCAATATTGCATTATATACTCTTCTTTGTCCCTGCCAGGACATTCTTGCCCTGGAGAATGTAAGTCTATTTAAGGGAGGATCAGGAACTTGTCATCACAGGGGGAGTGATGGGTAAAGAGCTCTGACTCGGGAGTCAGAAAGACCTGGCTTCTGAGGCATACTGTCGGTGTGACCCTGTCCGAGTTGTAAGTTTTATGTGCTTTAGTTTTGTCAACTGCAAAACAGGGATAATAATATTTATAGTACATTCCTTCAAGGGTATTCATGAGGATGAAAGGAGGTAATATATAGGGTGCCCTAACAGCACTAAGACTTTTTGGGGCACCCAGTATGTAAATAGCTTTGCAAACTCAAAAGTGCTTTATAAATGTTAGTTGGTACTAATCATTATGACCGAGTCTCAAACAAATCCAAGTGGCATTTTATTAGGCTTCAACTACAAGCAAGGAACCTGTACTAGACACACGGAGGACACAAAAATAGTTTTGGCCTTTAAAAGGGAGGAGGAACATACAACATGTAAACAGATAAGTATACACATCCCTCAAAAAGTACTAGTATCTAGCACCTCCGAGGTGCAATGGGAAGAATATTTGCTCTGGAGTCAGAGGGCCAGAGTTCAAATCATACCTCTGACACTTCTGTGATATTGAGCAACCCCTCTGGGCTTCTTTTTCCCCATCTCTAAATAAGACCTTGGCAGCCTTCTGACACCTTACTCTCCCCGCCCCCCACCTCCTTACTCTTAAATCCAGGGGCATGGGCCTGCTTACCGGGCATTTTCCCTGCCTGTCCCCCACGGCTGGAATTCTCCCCCTCCTCATCTCTACGTCCTGGCTTCTCTGCTTCCTTCCACTCTCAGCCAAAGTCCCACCTTCTGCAAGAAGCCTTTCTCTGGCCACGTCCTTCCCTCTGAGACGATCCTGCCTAGGCCTGCTTCGTACCGGCTTGTTTACATGTTGTTTCCGCCAGCAGACCAGGAACTCCTTGAGGGCAGGGCCAGTCTTTGGCCTCTCTTTGCATCCCCAGCGCTTAGCCCAGTGCCTGGCACACAGCAGGCGCTAAATAAGTGCTCGCTGACTTGACGCGGCGAGGACCCTCCCAGACTCCAGTCTACCAGGACCCTACGACCTCCTCTGGGCCGATTCCGGACTCGTAGCCCAGGCCGGCTGAATGAGACGAGGGAAGCTCGAGGCCCTTGGAGCCTGGGGGTTCAAGGGAAGCCGAGGCTCCGGGGGCGCCTGACATCCTCGGCCCGGCCCCCGTGCCCCTTACCTGAGCCGCTCCGGCCCGTGGGGTCCGCCATGCCGGGCCTGCCCGGGCCGGGCGGGAACCGCGCCGCAGGGAAAGGACGACTCGCCCGGCTTCTGACCCAGCTTCAGGCGCGGCTTCAAACACGCCGCGTCAGCTGACCCAGGCCCCGCCTCCGGCACGTGACGCGGAAACCCGTGCTGACCAGCCCGAAGACGCGACGCACCCACCCCGCCCCTTCCGCCAACGAAGCGGAAGTGGTCGTGGAAAGCCTGCACGTGACGCACGCTGGCCTCTCCCGCGTGACCAAGAGGCGGGGCCGCCCCGCGCCCTTGTCCCGCGGCTGGCGAGATGGAGGTCGTTCCTCTTCGCTCGGGTGCGCGTGTGCGTCCCTACGTGCACGCCTCTCGATCTGGGGCCCTCCACGTGTCTGCACCGGGGAACGCGTGTGCTTCCAGCCCTAGGCTCACGTGTGCCCGTGCGTCCACGCGGAGCTGGTCTGGATTTGCTTCCATCAGTTTTTCGCGTGGGCTTCCGTGTCGTATGCAGGATCGTGGCCAGTTTGCATGTTCACAGCTTTACACACGTGTGCCATCAGTTAGCATGCTGTTGTGTATAATCTGTATTGATCCAGGCACGTGTATGACCAGTGGATTGTATGCATAGGGGTCCTGAAGTCTCTTGAGGTCAAACACCGCCCCCCCTTCTTTATAGGAACTCTGATCTTAAGAGTATGGGACATCCTTTGACCTATGATCCAACCTGGGAGCCCCAGGAGTCTATCAGTGAACTGGGGGGATTGGGAGGGAGGAGAGGAGATTAAGTGGGGCAGGGGAAAGAAGAATCATGGGACCTACCAGCAACATGCATTCATATGTGCACATACACACAAATACCACAGGCCAGGCCAACAGGGCGCAATCTGCCTTGAAAATAATCTCCGAAAGGGGAAAGGGGGATCTTCACTGCTGCATCTCCAGGGCCCTTCTTTGCTATGGCTAGTTCAAAGTAACCTATCTAAGGTAGCTGAAAGTTAGTTTCAGCATCAAGAGACCTAATTCTTAGATGGGAGAGACATTCCCACCCCAAGAGACAAAGACAGTAAGAACAGAGAAAGTATGTGTGTTGGGGGGGAAGGGGAAGCATAGACACAGTGACAGAGAGGGACTGAGACAGATCTAGAAAAGAAAAAAAAAGGCAGGAAAGAAAAAGGCAGAGAAAAGTAAGAGGACAAAAGCAGAGACATCGCATCTGGACACAGCCACAACAAGGACCCACAAGACATTAGTGGGAGGATTTTACTAACACCATGAGCCTCAGACAATACATGCCTCGACCCCATTGCCAGATTGCCCTCCCACCCAAGACCCGAACTTCCCCAACTACAGCCCTCAAGGCTCCCTGTCCCACCCCTCCCACCCACCCTTCCCCAATCCAGCCCTCACCCCTCAGGCCCTAGCACTGCCTCTTCCCCTTGTCCCCAGCTGGGCCCCTAAGCAAGGGAACTTCAGTCATCTCCATCATCGCCATCGCTATTGCCATCGCCATCACCACCATCATACTTGCCACCTTCATAGGTGGCATCATCATCAAATTCATCACCACAGTCACCACCTCTAAAGGTGGCATCATCATCGAATTCATCACCATAGTCACCACCTCCAAAGGTGGCATCATCATCGAATTCATCACCATAGTCACCACCTCTAAAGGTGGCATCATCATTGAATTCATTACCATAGTGACCACCACCATAGTCATCTTCATTGTCCTCATCACCATAGTCACCACCTCTAAAGGTAGCATCATCATCAAATTCATCACCATAGTCACCACCACCATAATCATCTTCATTGTCCTCACCAGTAGGAGGCAAGGTGGAGGGTGCCCCTGCAGAGGTCTCATGGATTCCCTCTTTGTCAACCTCTTGGATGTCCTTGTAGATATCATCCTGGACTTGCTCATAAATTTCATCTCGATCACCCCCATAGACATTGTCCTGGGCATCTTTGTTCATATCCTCTGGGATGCCATCATAGGCATCATTCCGGGCACTCTTGTAGACATCATCTCGGACACCTTGGAAGACATTATCTTGGGCATTTTCATGCACACCCTCCTGCATTTCCTCATATGTATCATCATGGACCACCTCATAGACTTCATTTTGGACACTCTCATAGATGTTTCCCTGAGTACTCGCCTGGATGTCCTTGAAGACATTCTCCTGAAGGGTTTCATAGATAGCCCCTTGTCTGCCCTCATAGACATGATTCTGCATCCCCTCATAAATGCCTCCCTGGACACCATCATAGATGCCACTCTGAGCACCCTCATGGACCCGTCGATGCTTGGTGAGGCTGGAGGCCTGGCCAAAGCCCTTGCCACAGATTCGGCAGCGGTAGGGACGCTCACCAGAGTGCACATGGAGGTGCTGCAGGAGGGCAGAACTTTGGCCAAAGGCCTTGGAGCAGTGAGGGCAGGCGTAAGGCCGCTCACCGGTGTGTGTACGCAGGTGGTGCTGCAAGTTGGAGCTCTGGCCAAAGGCCTTGGAGCAATGTGGGCATCGATAGGGGCGCTCGGCTGTGTGTGTGCGTTGGTGCTGTAAGAGGGCTGAACTCTGCCCAAAAGCCTTGCCACACTGGGGACAGGAATAGGGCCTCTCACCTGTATGTGTACGCAGGTGTTTGAGCAGGCCAGAGCCCTGCCCGAAACCCTTGCCACAGACTGGACACTTATGCGGGCGGGCACCACCATGGGTGCGTAGGTGCTGGGCTAGCAGGGAGCCATGGCTGAAAGCCTTGCCACATCGTGGGCACAAGTGTGGCTTTTCACCACTGTGGCTGCTTCGGTGCTTCAGCAGCGTGGAGCGCCAGCCAAAGGCCTTGCCACAGGCGCTACATTGGTAGGGACGAGCACCAGTGTGTGTGCCACGGTGCTGGGCCAGCGTGGCTCCATGGCTGAAAGACTTGCCGCAGTCAGGGCATCGATATGGCTTCTCCCCACTGTGTGTACGACGGTGCTGGCTCAGCCCTGAGCTTCGACGGAAGGAACGCCCGCAGTCCGGGCAGTGGAAGGGCCGTGGTGGGCTGGGTGGTCGGGCAGCACTACCATCACCAACACTGATGCCAGAAAGGCCTGAGCCTGCTGCCCCAGGAACTAGGTTTGCCAAACCTGGGGTGCCTTCAAGCCCAGGGAGGAGGCCCCCAGTGCTGAAGTCGCTGTCCTGCCCTGGGAGATCAGACTGAGTAGAGGTAGGGGCACCATCTGGGTCAGGGATGCCTTTTGGGGAATAGGTAAAGCTTTTGAGGCCCTCAGGACCAGGGCTAGTGCTGGGACTGGCAGGAGAAGGGGCACCCTCTGGAGTAGGGAAACGGCCTTCTGGGGTGGGGGTCCTGTCTGGGCCAGGGAAGGGGCCTTCAGGGCTGGGAGTATTGTCCAGAGAGCCCTCTGGACTGGGGGCTCTATCTGGGACTGGACTGTCCACCACATCTGTGGGAAAAAAAGAAAGGCTAATCAGGAGCACAGGAATTTTGGGAAGATGTTTCTCACTCATGGTGGGGACTCTTCCCCAGGGAGTTGGAATCCTGGATTGCCCGCCTCCCTCCCCAATGGCCTGAACTCCTGGATCATAGGGTTTCAAGTTAGAAGTAATCTTAGAGATGATCTGGCCCAATCCCCTCATTTTAAAAACGGGGAAATTGAGGCCTAGAGAGGAAGGGGACTTGCCCAAGGTCACTCTATCAGGAATGGAATTTAAATCCAGCTCTTCTGGCTTCACATCCAAGGCTCTGGCTGCCACTACTCACTAGGTACCCCGGTTTGTCCGGTCCCCCCCCTCCCTTCCTCCTCCTGGGAGCAGGACTGGTCGCCTCCTTGCAGACCCTCCCACCCCTCACCTGCATAGGGGCTTAAGATGCAGCTGTCTTCTTTGTCGCTGTCCAGGGTCTCCCTCGGGGCCCGGCCCCGCGGCTTCACCTCCCGTCTCTCCATCCCGGCGCACACCCCACCCGCCTGGAGGACGCGGCTCTAGCCAAGAAAGGAAAGCCGGGCTCAGGGGAGGAGGGCAGGGGGAAGGGAGGCTCGGCAAACACCCACCCAGGTCCCCGAGGCAGTCCGAGGAGACGGAGGGCCCCCTCCCCGAGGGGGGGCGGCGCAGAGAGGAAGACAGGCCCAGAGCGAGCCCAGCCTGGGGCTCCCCTCGCAGGGCCTCAGTTTCTCCCCCACCCGAAGAGGAGGGCTGGCTTCAAGGCCCGGAGATCCGGGAGACGAACTGGGCCCGTCCGTGGGGCTTCCCTCCCCCAACCCCCCC